GGAACTCATTTCGGAGCTATTGTAAGTGTCAGCAGTAGCTCTCACTAGTAGTCCGGCTAGTGTGTGGGACTAGTACGGGCTCCATTTCTCCAGCTACCAAATGCGATAGTATTTTCGGAGCTCATTAAGCTTCGTGATTAATGTTCATAGAAGTCTAAGAAGGCAAACTGTTTTAGACGAATGAAAATGGTTGTGCTAGCTTTTCTACTGTAGGTCCGTAATTATCTGATAGGTGGTTTGGGCAGGCAGACTGGGCTCCTTTATTCCGAAGAACTTGCATTCAGCAAGAATCTGTGTGTTGGAGAGCAGCTTGTTCAAATTTGGATGGATGCTTGAAAGAATCGTACAGAAGACGAGGGCGATATGAAATGATTTGTCATGTCCAAGCAGCTCTGGATGGTAATTCTATGATTTCTTGGGCGAGAACAGGATGTGTTGTCTATGCATGAATTGCCAAATCTGCAGCTGACGTTAGCTGGCGTAATTTTGTTGAGGCCTGTAGAGTTTTACAAGGCTTTACAGCACCTGCGTTTCTATTCAACAACCACTGTTCCAGGCTTGAAATCTTACTGACGTAAGACATTATATAAGATGTGATCTTTCAAGGTGGTCTTTGAGTTTGACTGAAGGTCTTGATTCTTCAATTTCCGTTTTTTAGCATCTGAGATTCAGATGATGACCATTCCCCAAGGCCAGTACGTGATCACAGAGACCGCTGTAGGTACGCCGGTCACCACTGTCAACACAGGGCAAGTGAAAGCAGTTACTCAGGTAAGGAAAACAATCGTGGCCTTTTTTTTTTTTTCTTCATTCAGAATAATATATCAGGCCTAAAGCCTTCAGTTTGAAGGTTAAAGGAGTGCCAAAGTGATGACTGGGGGACAGAGAGAAGAGAATAATGGTGTACGTGAAGAGGTCCAGACTGTATAGTCCGGAAGGGCATTGGCTTTCTGTAACAATTATAGAGAGGTCCCCGCTGGGCAGAATCTATGGGCAAAACAGCTTAAGAAATGGTATGATGTGTTGTGTCATAAGCTAAGGAGAAAAGTGCTACTGTTCAAACCTAGTAATGTTGTAAACTTCAGGTTACAGAAGGCAGGAAAGGCCCTCATGAGCTTCAAGGAAAAGATCTTTTTTTTTTTTTTTTTTCTCTGAAGTAGCATCATACTCCTTTATGTGGGGATCACAAATAGTTTTCTGCACCTAGCCGTTTACAAGGCCCACGCTGTCCGGCCCCTGTATGTATGACTCCTTCAAGTTTAAGGTGTTCACTTAGTCGCATTTGCAGGGCAAGGTATGATTTAGTGGTAGTGCTAGTCTTGAAAATATTTAAGAGTAAGCTGTATCCATTAAACCAAATTTCAGAACAATTTCTGGGAACGTTTTGATAGCTTTCTGTTATCCGTAGGATTACAGACTTAAGAAGAGTGACTGCTACCTTACCTAGTAAGCAGTCCAGCATAAGGAGGCAGGCTGTTGTACTGCATTGATATTGGACACTGGAAGTGCAACTTCTGCTAGAACATGTGAAAAACAGAAAAAACTTTCAGAATAGCTGTATTAAAAATGGCTATTGTAATTTGTAGTGGTGGGTTAACTGCGTGATTAGTTCAACCATTCGTAAGTTAACCAAATGCAGAGTAGTCCAATGTACTTCAAAACAAAGGACCAGGGTTATGTTGCTCTCAAATACATTTAAATGAAATAGAACTTAATTTCAAAGTTCCTTGTTCCTACCAAAACGTCGTCCAGCACGGCGACAGGAACATTACAGACTATTGGAACAGAAAAGTTACAGAAGATGCAACAATTATTACTTGTTTTTTGTATTCCCCATGCAGACTCACTATGTGATATCTGAAGGTCAGCCTGATCTGGATGTCAAACAAAACCCGTCGCTCTCCAGCGAGGTACAGGTCGGCGTCTCCCAGCCACCCGCCCACACGGATACCTTGGAATCGCAAACGAGCAGTCAGCAGCAAACCACCCAGTACATAATCACTACAACCACCAACGGGAACGGCGGCAGTGAAGTGCACATCACTAAACCAAGAACTTTCTCAGCAGAACACGAATGAAGAAGCCTCGCGGTGTCGCTTGCTTGTACTTGTCACCTCCCCCGAAAGCCCAGATCGATGGGTATCCTGGAGCTCAATATGTTTTAAAGTATCTGCTCACTTAACTTCAACTAAAGTCTTGGAGCTCTTGTTAATGCTTTAAGAGGGTTTAAGTCCCCGGTGACCATGAAGAAGTACCCTCAAAATCCTTCTGGGATGCTATTTTATGCAGCTTTTAACAAAAAGGACAAGAGGAGAAGTGAAACCTCTGCTTGCTCTGGACTTTATTTTTGGCATGTCTGCTGACCCTTACTTTTCCTTCCTGGAAGTGTCTCCAGCAAACAACTTTTTATTTCAATAGTATGGGAAAAAGCTTGCCTAACTGAAGGCTGACTGGCGGATTATGTTGTATGTATATTTTTAACAGGAGCCGTTAAACAGGAGGACATCATGTGCGTTGCCAGAATACGGCAGAACTGCTTCCCGTGTCTTTGTTTCAGCAGCCGAGGTGAAAGGGGATGTACCAGCTCGACGCGAGCAGACTGCCTGGAGAAGAAGAGCAGCAGCAGCAAAGCTGGTGGCTCCTTGCGTACGTGCGCGGGGATGGATGTAACGACAAAGCTGTGAAGATGTGCCGAAGCAGTCCATTAAATTATTATTTTTCCAACCCTGGAGAACTGTTTACGTGCTGTCTGCCCTGCCCTATTTTACCAAGCGGTTCCAGAAAGAACAGAAAGTGCAGTCTTAAACCCATGTTTGGCACAAACTGATCGAAATCATAGTAGCACATAAGGGTAGTACAGAGGCGCTGTTCTCTCTTTTCCCCTCCAGTGTTTGCAGGGAAAACGGCCTTTTTGCCTGTGAACAAAAAAGGCTCAGCTTAGCCTGCATAGCAGCTTCTGCTGGGACCCACAGATAGCTGTGCCAGGAGAAAGGGAGGGTACGGGAGCACACCCCAGAAGAGGCAGGGCGGTTGTCTCTGTTGCCGCCTCGGAGTGGGCGTATTTTACCCCTCGAAGACTGGATGGAGAGTTGGTTACTTTTGATTTTTCCGAATACCTTGTTAACAATACACTGTAATTCCTTTGGACGGTTCCATAAAACGAGCAGCCCTGGACTCAGGAAACATACACGGAACATGCTAGTGGACCACTATTTATGGGACACAGAAAGCCATCTGTGGGGGTTGCCTGCTTTGGTAGACCTGGTCTATCTGCAGAATTTACGTTACGTTTACCAGGAGAAAGTGAAAGAGAAGATTTCTCTCTTAAGGCAGTGTAATTTTCTTTTTCTTACGTAATTCTCCTTCACAGGTCTTGTTGGTTGGTTATTTAATGCATTCTGGGATTTGCAAGAATATGACTACAACTCCATTGACGCCTGATGGGATATACCGTGTATGTCTAAACCTCCTTTCGCTCTGCTTGAGAACTCATCCCAGAATGTCTGTGCATAACAGGATACGTTTATTTATAAAACAAAAGCAAAGAAGGATGTTTTGTCCTAAAGGCCCTTGAGACTGAAGAACTGAGAGGGGTTTTCTTGATCCGTTTTCTCTTGTGCCGCACCGAGTGTGAAGGCGGGACTCTTCTGCGTAAGTACCCCCCCAGATTTAGATGAGGAATACCCGTGCGAGTAAGCGCTACAGCCGTTTACAGGTTGTGGTATCGGGCCTTACGCAGTTAAAGCTCTTAGAGACGAGAGAGCTTCACACTCGGACTGGACGAGAGGAAGTCTGGCGACTTGCGGGCAAAGCCTTGCAGCAGGTATCGCTTTGGTAATTAACATATCTGTTAATATGGCGTGGAAATAGTGACGGTGCGTGGTAAAATAAATCAGATTGAAAACACCGGCCAGCTCAGAACTGCTTTGAGGTAGCTTTGATAAGGACTTGGTGACTTGCCAAAATGTGGATTAATTTGTTCCTGGGATTTGGCTTCTCTTGCTGTACCACCGTACCGGGGCATTAACGAGACTGGTGAAGTTAATAAGGACCGGAGCTCCCATTTAGTTAAGCGCAGCGGTGTCTTTGAATTCGGTGGATTTGGGAGCCCATCGACTTCAGCCGCGTGGCCAAGGGACTGCAGTTCCCGCTAGTTCACTTGAAGTCGTGCTGCTGAGGGCTTCTGAATTACGGCGTTGGGCGTTGTGACGTTGTTGGTGTGAGAGAAAAGAAGGGAGACTTTTGTCTTGATTTTCTTCAGGCTGCTAGGTTATTTTATAATGAGTCAAAAAATGGCATGAGTAATAGGAAAATAGGAGATTTGGAAGTGGGATGTTCCAGGCGGATACTGCCCTACAGGAGCAATTTTAAAGACTTAAAAGGTCTATAGTCTGTACAGATGAACATCAAACTTTCCCCTCAGTGATATTGCAGATGTGGGGTTTAAAAAATGCTTTGCTCTGTTCACCTTTGTTGGAAAGGAACACAGACTGAGGACACTTGTTACCTGTTAGTCAAGGCTGAAAACTACACGGTGTTCCACAAAACCATTTTAAAACAGCCTCTGTGAACTCGACTCTTCCTTATCAAAGTTTCTACTCTGGCCTACAGCAACGGCAGCGTACTCGGTACCTGCATTAAGCGATTCACGGTGTCCCAAGTTAAACGAATGCGTCATCGCGAGAGAAGCATCCCTGGAAATGGAAGTATCATGAATTTTCCTTCCGAGGTGAGGAACTACAGCGATTGCACAGTTGGCAGGGGCCCGCTTTTAGAAAGGCGACAGAAAAAAAAGATAAGTTTGCATGGATATTTTTTTTTTCCCCTCCCATTTCTGCAGTGCAGAAGGTGTCGGATTTATTATTATTTTTAAACCAGAGCAACCCAAAGATCTCTTTCCTACGTCATGTCCCACAGGAGCTTAAGGCTGGAGTCCTCTCGGTTGCCGAAAAGGGACACGTTTTACTCGAAGGTGGGCATCGCTGCGGGCTCCCCGGCGGCCTGATGCTGTTCCTTGTAGGTGTATTTTCCTGGAGCGAAGAAGAAAAAAAACAAAACAACAGGCACCCTGAATTTGCACCTCTCGGACTGTTTGGGCTGTTTTGCTCTGCCCCTTCTCTTATTTAATTGTGTATGTTCGTTGTACATTCAGTGGCCGTTATCGTGTTCATAGTCTCGTGCAACCTGGCAGGTGTAAAAAAAGAAAAGAAAAGAAAAAAAAAACACCCCACCCCGAAATTAATAAATTTTTTCTCTTTTTCTTTTTTTTAAAAAACACTGGCCCTGACCCGTCTGTTCAGTGGGGCGGGTGAAACGGGGCTTCGCCCCCTTCGGGTTACAAACGTCGCTTGGCGCCCGGG